CTTCCTGAGCACATGCCAGGCTCTTGCTCTGTGTGCGCCTGTGTCCGAATCCCTCCTCCCTCAGGAGCCCCTCAGACTGGATCAGGGCCATCCCACCGCCCACATCTCACCTCCGTAGACAGGCAGAGCCTGGCTTATCCCCGTTCGGCTTAGACTTTTCAGTTCTCCAGTACTGCGAAAGTGCTAAGCATTCAGGAGAAGCCATACTTCAAACTGTGATCTTTCCCCCGTCTAGCAGTCTGTGGTGGGATCTCTTTGTAATGCAGGGGACAGCAGCCAGCCCCAGAGGCGGTCAGCCATGGGTCCACCAGGGCAAGCCAGCCACGTGCTGCAGTGTCCAGTGGGGCCAGGCCAGGTGCTGGGAGGTGCTGTGCTGCGTGCATGTTTGGCTTACACGACTTTCAGCTTGTGGTGTGCTTAGTGGAACGTGGCCTTGCTGTGGTCACACCTGAGTTACCGGGGGCTAGGACTTCAGCATGAATGGGCAGGGAGCACAAAATTAAGCCTGCAATAAGCAGTATTTACCCAAACCAGTATTGGCAGAGTAGAAGACAGGCCGCCTGTGTCGAGTGTGCAGCCAGCGCTCAGTGCCCCACCTGCTTGTTCTCACCAAGTAACCAGTCTGGGTAAGGCACGATGGTCCCAGTGGACATCATTGGCATGAGCATCAAGACAAAGTCAGAAGCAGTGAGAAGCAGAGGATAGCTCTGTGACAGCATTGACAACGTCAGTTTAGGTGACTTCATCTTTTTATTTTTTAAATTTATTTTATCCCATTCCCCCTGCTCCAAGGCCCCCTCCCCTCCCTATGTACAGAAGCTGTTTCTATTTTTTTCTTTTATTTTCACTTAGGTGACCTCTTATCTTGCTGAATTCCTGGTTTACCTTGTAAACTGCTAAGGAGGGACTTTACAGTGGCAGAGGTGCCAGGGGCTGTGTTTTTAGGCGGCTGTGGGAATTCAGATAAGTCTTCTGGCATCCAGTGACTACCAGACATCCTCAGCCATGGCCTACAGCAGCATGATCTGTGCCGCTCAGCCCAGGGATAAACCAGAGCCATCTCCAACTCCCTGGCCACATCCGGGGCGCCACATCCGGGGCACCACAGCTCACTTCTTGAGTTTGATGTGGCTTCCGGCTACAGCATGCAGCACTAAAGAACTAAAGCACTGCCCGGGGTACTTAATTACTGTACCAAACTCTCCTCCCCAGGCGTGCTTCACACTGCACACAGCACCGGTGTGGAGAAGCCCTTCCTGCGGGCTCAGCCTGGGACAGGGACATCAGGATGGAGGAGGGGAGGCACGGGTGTGACGTGGTACACAGCAGACACACACACATCAGTGTGGCCGAATGGGCCTGAGCGCCCCAGAACAGGGTGACATCTTCCCACCAGCCAGGCCCTTTCCGGTCTCGGTGAGGAGCTGTGTGCCCAAGACATGCTCATGGCTCATGGTGCCCCGAGTGTGACCCCTCAGGCGAAGTCCAGACACGCAGCTCACACTCTTCCTGCAGGGTCATGACATGGATCTCTGGGCCTGGTGGGCCTCGTCTGAAAAGCACCACACCCACCATGGCCCCGTATGACGTCCGATGTTCAGAAAAGACAAAGTCCCTGCAGAGGGAGGAGGGAGGGGCAGGGGCTGGAAGTAGCGAGGAGTCTTGGGTCCTGCAGGCCACCGTGAGAAATATGTAAGCAATGGCAGCTCTCCGTGTCCGGGACACACAGTCCCCCTGTGCTGTCAGCCCTGTGCTCCAGGCTCCTGGATGGACTTCCTACCCGACGCAGGGTGGACTGCATATCCCACTTCAGTCCTGACCCGGGGTCATATGGCCAAGCCCAAACTGTTGGGAAACCTGTGGCCAGGTCAGGGTGAGCCGATCGATAGAGTGGGAACCCAGATGGGCCAACGTCCACTTCTGTGCAAGCTTCCAAAGCCACCACCACATACACTGCTACCAGAGGCACTGAGGGCCCGAAGGCGCGTACTCCAAGGCCTCCAAATTTGCTTTTTACAAAGCCTGGTCTGCCATGGACCTCTGTTGGCTTCCATCCATCTGCTTTGGAGCTCTTGTGTATTTGGTTCTTTATATAAAGACCGTTACTTGTACTTAGCTACTGTCACTTAGTCCACATTGTGAAAGAAGCCAGACGATGGGCAGATAATTAGGGCTTCAAGCACCAGTTACACGCTTGCCTACAACAGACAGTGAACCCAGGAGTCATGGAGCAGTTAAAATGCAAGCTAGTGGTCAACACCCAAGTGGACAGTGACATTTGGGGGGCTGCTGGCTCCTGAGAACTCTCCTCTTTGAAACACATCAGTCAGTCAACACATACTTATCAAAGCCTGCCATGACCAGAGCTCATGGGCACCCTGATAAATAGGACACATGAGGACCAAACAAAGAGGGGATTCATTTGGGGCTTTGTATTTAATTAACTGCGAGTTGTTTGCCATATAGCAGTCAAGAATGACTTCCCTGAGAGATTTAAACTGAAACCCTGAGCAAATGCCAAGTCCCTGAAGTGACCGAGGACAAGCAAGGCCCTCATGGAGAGGGCCCAGGCGAGCAGGAAGAAGAAACTGATGGGTGTTCAGGAAGGGAAGGGTAGGACCCATGGCTCACCAGGGAGACCGCACACACACTAAAGACGGATTTTGATGGGGAGTGAACGGGACTGAAAAATAATGTGACAGAGAGGCTGAGAAAAGCCATTTCTCCTGGACATCGCTGGTAGGAGCAGGTCTCTCACTTCCCTTCAAGACACTGCCAGCGATGAAAGCAAAGGAACCTTTTCCTTGTGAACTCCCTGTGTCCATCTGCAATGGGGCTGTCCGATAGAAAAGTCACTCCACACACGGCGTTCGAATCTAGAACGAAGTCAGTACTAATGACATAGCTTTAGTAAACCCAACATGGCATATCCAAACTCTTATTTCAAGAAGTAATCAGTATAAAAAATTAATGAGATGTTTTCCATTGTTGGGTATGATGTCGACAAAAGCTAAGCACATCTCCATTCACACGGGTCCCATTTCCCACCCTCAGAGGCCACCTGTGTCCAGGCTGCCACCAGGACAGTGAAGAGCTGGAGGGGGAGCCGCTGGGGCCGGGGTCAGGCTGGGCCTGGTTGGTACCAGGTCACATGGAAGTCACATGGCTGTGAAGCCCCTCAAAGTCCTCCCCTCTGTTCCAACACACTCGCCCCCTCTCTCTCGGCACTTTCTGGACCAGCTCTGGTGTCCTTTCCTGAGTGTCTTCATGAGGTGTCATTGAAAATATCATGAATGCTGCTGCTGATACCACCCGAGGGAACGGCAGCTGGCAGAATGTGACGCTGTGTCCTCAGCTATCAGAGGCCAGGCAGTGCTCTGACGGCCTAGAAACGGGACAGTGAGGGCTAAAGAAAAAGACAGCAGAGACCTGCATAGTTTCAAGTATACGGGGGCCGGGAGGACACTCCAACCTCGCCACTGTTTACTGGGTTGGTTCATAGGGAGGATCAGACGTCTCCAAGGGCCCGACGATCCTGAGTCCAGGAGTATCTGAAGCTGATGTAATCCTGCCCCTGAGCATCACAGCATCTCAGGCCCATTGAGGCTCCACACAGCCCTAATCATAAATAATTGTGAAATGATTTTTCCCCAAAAATTATGTGGAAAGGCTCCCGATCCTCATCCACCTTATTCACTGGATCTGGCACGTGTGACTCCTGGCTCTTCCCAAAGTCAAGGTGACCTTGAAAGGGAAATGTTTTGAATCCATTGAGGACATTCAGGCAGCCAGGGCAGCACAGCTAAAGACCCTCAGGAAAGAGGACTCCAGAGCTGCTGCCGGAAGCGGCCAGGACGGCGGGATGTGTGCTCAAAGTGAGGGGAGGATTCTGAGGGGAGTTCATGGTAATGTGTCTTCTACTGTAATAGATGTTTTAAATTTAAGTGTTCAACTTTTTTTTTTCTTAATTTTTTTTTTTTTTTTTTTTGGTACCAGCGATCAAACTCGGGTCCTTGAGCTTGCTAGGCAGGCGTCGAAACCACTGAGCTAAATCCCTGGCCCCTATTCAACATTTTTGATCACATCTTGTCTCAGGCAACTAAAACCTTCACTGCATACAGCCAGCATTTGGCCTAATCTGAAGGCGTGAATAAATGCCTGGACGCGAGGGCCTTATTGGAGCAGCAGTTCTAGGGCAGGAGGAAGGCAGAGGAAAGGGCTCAGGTGCCCCTCGGAGACTCCGAATCATGTTTTGCTTCGCTCACGCCCCACTCAGGTGTACTGAGTCAGAGCGGCTCCACTTCTCCATGCCAAGAAATCAGCCCCAGAAAGGCCAAGAAGCTGGCCAGTGTGTGGAAGGGCCCGGCCTGGACCCAGCCCTTAGCTGAGGCCGTTCAGACCCAAGAGCGAGAGGAGTGGGTTTGTCGGGGGACCGAAACCCTCCACGACCCCCAGTCCAGGCGGTTCCAGAGCTCAGGTACGGCCGGCAAGGGCCTCAAGTCGAGGGCAGCAAGCTTTCTGTTTGGGATTTGCCCTCTGCCCTGTGGATAACTCCTGAAACTCCTCAGGGGACGCCTGGGAGTCTTCACAGCCTGTTACTCACAGGTCTCCAATTCTCCACCTTTCTGTTTTAAAAAGTGAAATTCGACCCGGCCCCAGCAGAGCTCTAGGCACACACGTAGCCACTTACCGGAGGGCGGTCGGTCGGTCGCTCGCAAGTCCCAGGGTGGTGGCGGAGCGAAGCTTTCTCCGCTGGCCCTCGGCCCTCTCCTAGGAGCGCACACCCCGCCCAGCCCCGAGGACCGACACGGGGACGGACAGGCCGTGCAGCCCTCGGTGCTGAGCTGCTGAGCGAGGCAGCAAGTCAGGCGCGCCGGGCCCCCGCGTCCCCGCAGATCCGATCCGTGTGACAAGCGCGGCGCGCAGGTTACCGAGGCCGAGCCAGCCACTGGCCACCCAATGCTGTGCTCTTGTGTTCTGAGACAGGGACTCGCTGTGTAGCCCAGGCTGGCCTCGGACCCGCGGCGATGCTCCTGCCTCAGCCTCCCGAGGGCTGAGATGGCAGGCGGGCGCCCCACGCCCGGGCCGCGGTGTAATCACTGAGCGACATCGGGCATCGCCGGCGGGTCCGGCCGCGTCCCTGCAGTCGGCACCGGCACCGCGCGGTGGGTTAAACGAGGGTGGAGAACCCGACCCGAAACTGTGACAAGAAGGGATCCAGAAAAGAAACCCGGGAGTGCGAGAGGGACCCCGCCGGCGGGAGAGGGTGCAGAGGCAGGCGGAGACAGAGCCGGGAGAACCCCGCCGCGGGCCGGGACAGGGGCGGGGCCGCAGGAGGGGCCGGGCCGCGCCGCAGGCTGCGGGCTTAAAAGGGGCGACCCCCGGGGACCACGGGACCGGGCCCGCGCCGCAGCCTGGCTCCAGGACGCCGGCAACGCCACCGCCACCGCCACAATGTGCGAGCTGTACAGCAAGGAGGCCACGCTGGCGCTGCGGGGCAAGCACATCGGGTAAGGGGCCCCGGCCCGCAGGAGAGCGCGGGGAGGGACGGCGAGGGCGCCGGGCGGCTGCTGCGGGAGGGGAGGGAGCGGGCGAGCGGGCGAGACCCAAGCGCGCAGTGCGCAACGCGGGCGCCCGTCCACCGCGAGCGTACCTGGTCCTCGCCTACACCTGGAGCCGGGAGTGCGGGGCAGGCGCCCGCAGCTGGAGGAGCCGGCGGGATTGCCCGGCAGGAGGGCTAGCAGGAGCGGAGGACTCGCCTCCACTCTCACCCTAATCCTAAACTTGAAATCTGTGAATCCAGACTCTCCTGCCTGGTGCACAGTGGGGGGTCAAGCCCCTGAGCAGTGCAGGCGCCCCAGGTCCACCCCAGCGCTGCGAACAAGCAAAACAATGCGCCTGGGCGCTCCGCAGCCTAAGCAGTTGTCAGTCGGAGGCCACTTGGTGTTCACAAGAATCAGAATACTTTCTAAATAGGCGCAGATCAGCCTAAAATGTACCTAGTAACCCCAACTGTCTCATAGGTTCCTTTGGGTTCTTTTAGGTACGCAAAGTCACCGAAATGAAAAAGCGTACTCCCTGCTAGCTCCTACACCCCAAGGCAAGATCCGAAAGAAACCTTCCTGATACCTACCCCTGCCGCTAAATTTATACTTCAAACACATCCAAATAAGCAGAAATATGAATGACTTTTTATTATGCTCAAAAGACTATATTAAAAGAATTCTTGACTTTTTTTTTTTTTTTTTTTTTTGAGACAGGGTCTCACTCTGTAGCCCAGGCTGGGCTTGAACTCATGGCAGTCCTTCCTGCCTCAGCCTTCCTGAGTGCTGGGATTACAGGCGTGTGTCACCAGGCCCAGTTTAAAGTTTCCAAAATTCAAGTGGTCAGGTGTGGTAATGCCCGCCTGTAATCCCAGCACTTGGGAGGCTGAGGCAGGAGGATTGCTGTGAATTTGAGGCCAGCCTGAGCTACAGAGTGAGACCCTGTCTCAAAAGATAAAATAAGCATGGAAACCAGGACTGGGGGTGTAGCTGGGTAGAGCGCTTGCCTAGCCTGGAGTTCAAGCCCCAGTACTGCAAAATAAATAAAGTATGGAAATAATTAGGAAAATAATAATGGAAATGATGGAATAAGTGTGGGAAATTCTTCTACAAGACACTCAAGTACCAGTCAAAAAACATGGAGATGAGAATGCTCTCTAACATCTCCTTAGTACTTAACTTGAAGTTGTCTGGATTTAGCTTCCAGTGCTATTCATTTCTTTATAAATTGGAAGGACAAAGGAAACATCGGGACACCAACAACTTTCAGATGCTTGCTTCCTCACTGCCTGTGTAACCTTGACCCCATTTCTTCATTGTTCTATTCCTCGCTCTCCTCAATCCTAAAAACGGGAACGCTATCGGCCCCTACTTCATAGGCTCAGTGGGAGGATTAAATGAGGCGCTATTTGTAAAATCTGTTGCAGTTTCTGATGTAGGAAACTTCCAAAACAGGCTTTATTTCTGGTGGTAGAGGAACGTGTCCCAAAGGGCGCGTGGTCACCAGAGTCTGCGATGAGCGCTGTGATGTGCCCAGCCGGTCCACGCGTCTCTAACAGTTGGGGAGTCGAGGCAGTAGGAAGGGAGGGGGCCTGAAAATGATCCAGATGCGGCCCGCGCGTGCCCAGTCCCCGAGATCAGTGTCCTTGTGTTGCACCCGGGCACTACTGAGAAAAGGCAAGAAATGTGAGCAGGCTGAGCGGGGATTGAGGAAAAAGCTTCCAGGCTGAAGTGAAACGGGAAGAAATAATAAATTAGAGCCAGCGGCCGGGCTGTTCTCCGCCTCCTCCTGTAACTGAAAGCGGCCCAGCTCAGCGCCTCTTCTTGCCCTAGGCCCTCCTGCACCGTGTTCTTCGCCGAGGACCCAGTCAAGATCGTGCGGGCCGGGCGACAGTACATGTTTGACGAGCGTGGCCGGCGCTACCTGGACTGCATCAACAACGTGGCCCACGGTGAGGGGGTCCTGGGGAAGGGCGGGGGTCCCTTCGGCTCCTGGCCGGGTCCTGAGCTCTGGCTCGTGTCCCCGCCACAGTGGGGCACTGCCACCCTGAGGTGGTGGAAGCGGCCCAGAAGCAGATGGCGCTGCTGAACACCAACTCCCGCTTTCTGCACGACAACATTGTGGCCTACGCCCAACGCCTGGTGGCCACGCTGCCCCCGCAGCTCTGCGTCTGCTACTTCACCAACTCGGGGTACGGTGCACTCGAGCTGGGGGCCCCCTGTCCCCTCGGGTCCTAAGGCAGAGGAGCTAGAGGTGGTCGGCAGAATAGGGCTTTCAAAGCACACTGAGAAGCCGGGAGTGGTAGCGCAAATCTGTAACCCCAGCAGCACTCAGGAAGCTGAGGCAGGAGGATCGCTGCAAGCTCTAGGCCAGCCTGAACTACACAGAGTCTGGGCCTCAAAAAGCCAAATAAGTTTTTTAAATTAATGAGGACTTTTAGTAAAGAAAGAAAGCTACTAAACAAGTTACACTCTGTTAGATTTTTTTGTTTGTTTGAAACAGGGTCTCACGATGTAGTTCAGGCTGCCCTTGAACTCATGGTGATCCTCCTGCCTCAGCCTCCCAAGTGCTGGGATTACAGGTGTGACCCACCAGACCTGGCTCTTTTCATAGGATTTTTCATCAGTTTTCTTATGGAAATTGAGTGTATTTCCTCAACACAAACACAGGAAAGAAAAAGGAAATTCAAGGATGTATTTCAACTTTTAAATTCTGTAAATTCAAATTATCATCCCTGCGTTCAATGACGTTATGTGGATATCAAATAGTATGTTTTTGAAAATACATCTCTAATGACTTGTAAAGCTTAAAATGCAGTTATATTGGGAGAAAGCTTTACGTATATCAGCAACTCCGATTTTTAAATGATACATTTTTCATTACATTCACTATTATAAATTCTCAGAGCGTTTGCTTGTATGACTTCCTCTGATTTACTTTTCCACAAGGTATTTTAAAAGCAAACATATAACCAGAATATCATTTTTTTCTTTGTAAAGAATTGAGAGGATATTTTGGGGTCTAATACGATGCATTAAGGATTCATGATAGTGTGCTTGACCTTCTCTTCTGAGGAATTCCACACTGTCAGATCGGGTCTGTCCCAAGCAGTGCTGCCCTGGAGCGGGGCGACAGAGCCACCTGGTGCCCCGGCCGGGTCCTGAGCCCCGCCAGCCTCGCGCTGGGCGCCTCACCCGCTCATCGGCCTCTCGGGTGCTGGCCCCGGGTCAGGAAGCAGCCGAAGCTGCGCCCACCTGGCCCAGGAGGCGCCCAGCGGTGCCGGATGGTCACCGTCAGGGTCACCTCCTCCCTTCGCCCCTGGGGTCTGTCCAGCCAGCGAGGAAGCAGATGGAGGAAAGTGGCGGCAGCGAGGGGCCTGACCGGGCTCCTCGCGTCTTTGAGGACAGACAGGGTGACCTGGCTGTACCTTTTCCTGGGGTTCTTCTGTCTGCCTCATTCTTTATATTATTTTTTCATTGTCTGCACGTCACGCTCTTTACTGGAAACACCCGGGAACTTATGATCGAGGCTGAAGCGAGAGGAGGTTGTGGGAGAGGAAGGTGCCCCTGTGTGTGCTGTCGCCCGCCTTGAAGCTTTGCTAATTTTGAAAGCAGGGCTCACCCTGTCCCTCTCTACCCCGCTGTCCCCACAGATCTGAAGCTAACGACTTGGCCTTACGCCTGGCTCGTCGGTTCCGGGGCCGCCATGACGTGATCACCCTGGAGCAGTAAGTTCGGGCTCGGGACCTCCAGGCCCGCACGCGGGGCGCGGGTCACCTCCGCAGACCTGGCTCTCCGGCCCTGTCCCTCTGGGCTCTCGCCTCCTGATTCTAATCCCCACCTCTGCTGTCACCGCAGCTCTGTCTGGACCTGCGGCAGGGCAGGTACTTTCTCTGCTTTCTCCGTGCATGGGTCTCTTATAATTTCCTCTCCAAATCTCACTTATATTTTTGGGCAAGGAACAGAAAAAGGAACAGATGTCACAGTCATGTTGTCACCTCTCAGTGTGAGTTCTCAGAGAAGCCTCCTGTTCTTTCCCAACTAATATTGACCTAATATTGCAACCGGGCACCCTTTAGAAACCACTCTGAACTGAAACCATCATTCTTGGGTAGAAAGCTGCTGTTAAAATGTATCAGCCAAGCATGGTCCCACGTGCCTGTGACCCCAGCTAGCTGGGAGGCTGAGGCAGGAGAGTCACTGGAGCTCAGGATTTCCAGGTGAACCTGGACAACAGAGTAAAACCCTGTTTTAAAAAATTTTTTTACTAGAATATCACTGTTAAATACACTTGAAAATTACATGTGAGGTTTTATAGACAATCTACTTTAGCAACATAATCCAAAGAAATTGTGCTTGTTTTCCCCACTTGAAAGAACTGGCCCATGGGATACTTGGCTTCCATGTGCTCTACTACACTGTAAAGGGACCTGGACAGAGTAAACACCTTGCCATAGGGGACAGGAAAGGGGGATGTTACCAGAACCCCTGCATTCTGGTTTCCTGTGAGCCACAACAGCACAAGGCAAATTAATTAATAAAGACAGAAAATGAGACTTAGAAAAGAAGCTGAGCTTTGGGCCTGATCGGTGCTGCTCTGGGCAGCAAAGACGAAAGCCTCTGAGCTTGCTGCACCTTCATTCGGTACATGGGAGAAACAGATGGCTCAGAGGGCTGTGGTGATCCTAGAACACTGAGGAACTATGCAGATGAGGATTTTGTTCCTCCCAGGATGTCTCCAGCTGGTGTAATCCTGCCCTGGAGCATCACAGCATCACGGGACCACTGAGGTCTTAGCTGTGACTGGGGGTGAAGATGGAGTTTTGTCTCCACATGCCATAGCCTGCCTGTAGGCAGGAGAACTAGGCCTGATCATAATTGAATTGTGAAATTTTTCCCTACAATTATATAGAATTGCTCCCGACACCCTGCCCTGGAAGTGAGATCCTGCATTGTCCCCTCTGGCATGGTGTTGAGAGCCACCCTGGACACCCAACATCATGCTTCTTGGGACAGAAGAATCTCTCAGAGCAGGCTTAGTTACTGTTCTTTTTCTTTTCAGTGCTTATCATGGCCACCTATCATCTTTAATTGAGATCAGTCCGTATAAATTCCAGAAGGGCAAGGATGACCAGAAAGAGTTTGTGCACGTGGTAAGTCTCTGAGAGCCTTGAATGGGAGTCTCAGTGCCGGAAGGAGCCCCAGTGAGAATCCAGCTCCGTTCTTCCATCACAGTGAAGCCACACGACCTGAAGTAAGATCTTGAGCAGTTCCAGCACTGGCCCCAGGGTTGGAGTCAGGACAACTTGGGTTTCACGCCCACAGCTGAGTTAGTGTTGTGGCAGAGTGTGGCATTCGCAGCTCTCATATGATCTCATTTTTCTTGCTCCTTCATCTTTGGTGACTTTTTCTGTCACTGGTCTCACCTCAAAATTCAGAGTTAATTTGAATTCGTATGACTGCTATGAAATTAATGTGCTCTATCCCAGTGCTGGTGAACCTATAGCACATAGGCCACAGCCGGCTGTTGTCATCACTGAAAGCTCTAAAGGGCTCGCCATCACTGCATGTGCTGTTATTATAGATTTCAGCCAAATAAAGAAACCAAGCAAGTTGTTGAACCAGGGAAATGCATTTGGCGGGTTTGTCTTAGTGGAGGGTCAGTAGATTCTCTTAAGACAATCATCAATACCTGCTTACTGGTTCATGCCTGTAATCCCTGCACTTGGGAGCCTGAGGCAGGAGAATCACTGCAAGTTCAAGGCCAGCCTGGAGTACAGAGTGAGATCCTGTCTCATCAAAAACCTCCTCATCCATCCCCCCCACAAAATACCTTCTTTCAGGATTTTAAGATCTAGAGTCAGCTAAAGCAGTCTCAGTTTCCTGAATGATTGTAATTTGGGGTAGGATTAAGAGGTGTTGGTTCATTATAAAAATAGGATAGTGAATACAGTTTCCATTCATTGACTTTTTAAGTAATATCATCACAGGGCCAGTGGTTTAGCTCAGTGGTTCCACTTCCTGCCTCACAAGTGCAAGGTCCCGAGTTTGATCCCCGATACCAAAAGAAAATAATAATATGATCACAGTGGTCGATTTGAATTTGCTTTTTATGTGAATGGGGATAAAGTCTTGATTTATAAGGGTCTGGGAACAAATCTAAGCTCCAGTTCAAAATTCGAAGATGTCAGTTTTACACAGAACTCAGAAGTGTTTGGGGGGGGCACAGGAGCCCAGGTGGCGCGGGTCCGCGTGGCCAGCCTTCTCCCGAGCCCTTGCAGGGAAAGGGCATTTGAAAGGTTTGTCCAGAGGCAAACAGTGGGAAGCTGCTCGGCTTGCTGTTCCCAGGCGCCAGCTCCAGACACCTACAGAGGGAAGTTCAGAGAGGACCACGCGGACCCCGCCAGTGCCTATGCGGCTGAGGTGCAGGGCATCATTGAGGACGCCCACCGCAGAGGGAGGAAGGTCGGTGCATCTGGAGACCCTGAGATGTGTTTATAAAACAGTTGAAACTTGTAGTCAGCGGGGAGCAGAAAAAGGATGAGCCTGAACTCCCTTCGTCCCTCTCTAGCTTCGTCTTTGCTCAGTTCATGTTTCACACCGCGGGACTGCAGTGGTGCCTCTGAGCCAGGCTGCACTGACTGGTCCCTGTCCCTCCCCTGAGCTCCTGGACTGGAGCAGGAGCAGGTCAGGATGCAGGGAGGGAGAGGTGTAAGGAAGGGAGAGCTGCAGCTCGCACTGTCCCCAGGAGGCTCGGGTTGGTGGCCAGATGCACCCCTGGCCCAGGCTGCTGCCCTCCAGCTGGTTCAGCCTGGCCGGGCCGGGCCGCACCCGGGGAAAGCGAAGCAGAAAGCCATCCTTCCAGCCTGGGCCTCAAGGCCCAGCCAGAACCAGAGTCCTCCGGGCAGGAGACCTGGACTTCTTTTCAGTCTTCACCCTACTGTGTTTGGCTCAGGGATGTTCCACTCCCAGCCCACTGAGGCACTCATGTGGATATTCTGTGCAGCTTGACAACTCTTTACCCTGAAACTGGCTATGGCATAGACAGGGTAATTCTAAAAAAATCTTCATTGAAATATGAATGATTTGCTTTTTCCAATTAAATCTCTTTGCCATTCGCATTCCCTGTTTCTTCGTTTTCTCCTCACTTGCTTTCTGTCCTTTTGTGGCCTCTCCAGGCAGACAGATCCCAGCTCCCTCTCGCACAAGAGGAACAGTAACCAGATCATTCGAACCTTTTGCTGTTAAGACAGGGCCCCGGTAACTTCCGGGCGGGGGGGATGAGCATTCCGCGGCTGTGGGGTCCGTGCTCATGCGCTTCTGAGCTCGAGCTGGGCCTGCAGAGCCGTGGCATTTTAGAGGAGCAACCTCTGGAGTCTGGCACGGCCCTTTTACAGCTAAGCCACTACCTAGCTAAACATGAAGCATTTCTCCCAAGCTAATATGCTTGTGAAGGAGTATTCAGAACTAGGACCTGGGTTCTCTTGGTTTCATTTTTATTTTTATTTTCTGGCTGACCCTTGAGCTCACTGTGTAGCCCAGGCTGGCCTAGAAGCCACAGCGATCCTCCTGCCTCAGCCTCCCAAGTGCTGGGATCGCGGGTGTGCACCGTGACGCCCTTGGTGTCTTTTCCCACGCTCTCCTGTGCCTTCTCTTCCTGCCTCTGTCCCCTCAGCCCCTAGAGCACTTCACTCCAGTCCCATGGCAAGTTGCCTACCCAGATGTGGGTTCATCCAAGGCGAAACCGACAGGCACCGCGGAGAAGCGTCCACTGTGGCCGCGAGCCACCCTCCGCTCCCGCCTCGCTCTCCTATGTCACCAAAGGCCACGGTGCCGCCTTTGGAGGCTGCGGGGTTCCTTAGAGGTTCTTGTCAGGACGGAAATACGAGTCTTCCTCGGCCCTCTGTCAGGAGAGCACTGCTCTTCAGGGGTGGAGCGGCGACTGGCCCTGGCCCTCCATCTGTGGCTGCTTCCTGTGCACCCTAGGACTTCAGAGGCAGAGCTCTAGGTCAGCTGGGACTCCCACAGAGACAGATCCCTCTCATCTGAGGCCTGCTCCTCACCACCTGGAGCATAACCTGACCTGAAGAAGCCTCTTGCTGGCCGGAGGACCCACTGGGATCTGACCCGTGTCTCTCCCACAGATCGCTGCCTTCATCGCTGAATCCATGCAGAGCTGCGGTGGACAAATCATCCCCCCAGCAGACTACTTCCGGAGAGTGGCAGAGTATGTACCTGCCAGGCACCCTGGGCAGGCGGGGGCGCTGACAGCTCCGTGGGGCCACACGGGAGCTAGGACATGGATGCCCGCCAGACAGCAGCTGCCGGACTCCCAGCCTTTCTGCTCAGGGCCACCCCTGCACCCAACTGATGGGTGGTTCCCAAGGCTGATCATTAGTAAACACCCAGAAATTAACCCTGCTAAACACCTTCGCCACTTGAAACACTGTAACACAGCTTACTTTACACCCAAACACTGTAGTCTGCATCTCACCTAGAAGTTAAGTGATTGTGTCTGTAATGTGGATTCTGAGCACTGGAACACTTTCACAGGATCCAGGCTTCAGGTTAAAGCTTTTTCCTTCTTTGTCTTTCATGAGCTGCATCACTGTGGGCAGGTTCAGGGACTCCCGACTGAAGCCACTGAAATCCTCTGCTTTTCAGACACATCCGAGGTGCAGGAGGTGTATTCATAGCTGACGAGGTTCAGGTGGGCTTCGGTCGCTCGGGCAGGCATTTCTGGGGCTTCCAGGTGCACGGTGAGGACTTCATCCCAGACATCGTCACCATGGGAAAGCCCATGGGCAATGGCCACCCCCTGGCGTGTGTGGTGACCACCAGAGAAATCGCGGAAGCCTTCCATGGCTCCGGGATGGAGTATTTCAACACGGTAAGCTGCACCCACAACTCCAATTCCAAGAGGGGCCGTCATTCATGCCCCTATTTTATGTGTTTGATTGCCGATGTCATAAGGAGTTAGGCTCAGTGTTGCTGAATAAGCACCCAGTATCCTAGCCAAACTTTGGTCTAATGGATTCTATCCTGTTGGGTACAATACGCCCTGGATGTTTTTCCTTTCTTATCTTTCCTCTTCCTAGAACAGTCTCCTTAATTTTTCCCGTGGTTGACAATTATCCCACTGAACCTTGGAGGTTACAATATTTTCATTAATAGACAACATGATCTTCTTCATCTCATATCCTATTTAAATTCCCAAAACACTTTCAAAGTATTTAAATGATTTAGTCCTAAGCTGTCATAAGTGATACTAAATTTTTATCTTTGGGAAATTTCACTTCTTTGGCTTTCATCCCAAAGTTGTAAGATTTAGGCTTGGAAAACTTATAGCTTGTACACGATGTACAACAGAGCACTTATTACAGATAAAAATAAGATTTAAATCTAAGGACATAAATTATTCCAAGAAGGGCTAGGGATTTAGCTCAGTGGTTTCGCTCCCTGCTGTGCAAGCGCAAGGACCTGAGTTCGATCCCCGGTACCAAAAAAAAACCAAATTATTCAGAGAAAATATCATTGCTTCACTATTTTCACTCCACTCTTCAGGCCCAGAAGCCTGATTTTCCTTTTCTAAACCACAAGTGTTTCATTGTTGTCTGGGTGAACCAATAAATTCCCTATTAATCCTGCTAATTCCAGGCATGCAGCACAGAGAACATAATCTGAAATTAATTTTTGATTGGGAGGGAATAAAATTATGCTCCACTCTGAGAAATTAATAAGAGAAATTTTATTAAAATTCTCATGTATGTGGGAAGCACATTTCTCATGGAAGAAGCAATATCTCTGACTCAGTGGTTGTTTTCTCACTGGTCTTTTCCCTGCAGTTTGGAGGAAACCCAGTGTCTTGTGCAGTTGGTTTGGCTGTCTTGGATGTAATCGAAAAAGAAGACCTCCAAGGAAATGCTATTCGAGTAGGAAATTATCTTACCGAGTTACTGAATAAGCAGAAGGCCAAACACACACTGATAGGAGATATCAGGTGTGTTTACCATGAAGCTGTCATCTAGTTATTCATTTCTGCAAAATTAAAATAGTTTATATCTTATAAATGTAACATAAATAAGCTAAATCTAGAAAACACCAAGAAAAAGAGAAAGCAAAATCATTCTTAATCCACAAGCCGTTGTTAAATGTTGTTACTTTTTTTTTTTGGTACTGGGGATCGAACTCAGGTCCTTGCACTTGCAAGGCAGGCGGCGGAACCACTGGGCTAAATCCCCGGCCCTGTTGTTACCTTTTGAGTGTCCGACTTTACGTTTTCTTTTTTATGAAGCTAGCACCATTTCATCACCCAAAAGACGAAAAGCACCTCTTCGTGACCTGTGGAAAATTATGTAAAATGCTGCCTAGAAAGCTGACTGGTTTTCATAGCTATATAAATATTTGCCTCACAAATATCCTGAAAAATCAAAGGTTGTTTTGAAGCCCCTTTCTTTTATAACTGAAAGAAAAAAAAAACAATGAAAAAAAATGTTTCAAAAATGAAAACCCAGATAGGTACCTTGTATGTCCATAGCCTCAGATTAAAGGGGTCAGATTCAGCCTCAGATGGAGGCAGGGGACAGTGCTAACCACTGCGACAATGCAGAGCCCCCCGCTCAAAAGGTTTTTCTGTCCCTATGTCAGGGGCATCGGCCTGTTCATCGGAATTGACTTAGTGAGGGACCGCGAGAGAAGGACGCCTGCCACCGCCGAAGCCCAGCATGTCACCTACAAGTACAGTGCCCCGCCTGTCTGTCCCATGCCTTGGCCCATCTGAGAGCTAGTGTTACTGTTTCTTCCTCTCATCACTGAAAAGGAAGAGCCAGGTGTGGGGGTGCGGGCCTATAATCCCAGCACCAGAGAGGCTGAGGCAGGAGGATCGCTGTGAGTTCAAGGCCAGCCTGAACCGCATAGCAAGACCCTGTCTCAGAAAGAAGTCACAGGCAATTGCTAGCCATGGGCTTGTTGGAAGTGGGACTCCTGCCTATCTCTCTGCGCGGTTCTTAATAATCCCAGTTGTCACTGGTAGCACTCACTTGTACTTCCTGCCTCAACCAGGATGAAGGAAAAACAAGTGCTGCTCAGTGCTGATGGGCCGCACCGAAATGTGCTCAAAATAAAACCACCCATGTGCTTCACCAGAGAGGACGCCGAGTTCCTGGTGGAGCAGCTGGATGGGGTTCTGACAGGTGGGTCCCCCATTACAGGGTCTCCGGCCCTGGCCCAGAAGCCCCCTCAGCGCACTCACCCAGGATGGGACCTCCCTCCGGTTCCTCACTGTAAAAAAAAAAAAAGGGGGGAGCCGCAGCAGGGAGTCCGTGTGGCTTTCCACTGAGCGACGGAAGCAGAGAGCGGAAAAAGGGAATTTTCAGTTTATACTCACACAGCTAGGATAATTAGGATATTTAAAACTGCACATGTGTGTATCGTAAACATGTACAGAACTACTTTTTTTTTCTTCCGGTACCAGGGATCGAACTCAGGACCTTGCACTTGCAAGGCAGGTGCAGTGCTACTGAGCCAAATCCCCGGTCCCCAGAATCATTTGACTCTGTGTTTTTAATGTTTTTTTCTTTTAAATAATGTTTATTAAAATATTTGTCTTAGGGCTGGGGATTTAGCTCAGTGGTTCTGACATCTGTCCCTTAAGAGCAAGGACCCGAGTTCAATCCCTGGTTCCAAAAAAAAAAGTAAAATATTTGTCTTATTCCAATTTACTTTTTTTTTTGTTGTTGTTGTTGTTGTTTTTTTGGTACCGGGGATCAAACTTGGGACCTTGTGCTTGCAAGGCAGGTGCCGGAACCACTGAGCTAAATCCCCAGCCCTCCAATTTACTTTTTGAGGACTTGTTTATAATTCAGAATTGCAGTCTATCAAAGGGATTTATCACTTGTGGGCCCATTTTATGTGATTAGGTTCACTTATTTTTCTGTTAGGAACATAAATTGGATTCAGAAATAAACCCTGTAAAAATAGTGATACCCTACGTCACTACGGAGATATTGGATCATTTTTTGTTGCTATGATTTTAAGATTCAACTTCTCTGCTTGCTGCAGTGAGGGTCACAGTGCAGTCCCTGTGGACTCGGGGACCTCATGCCCAGCCAGGCCAAAGCTCCAAGCCTGTGGGGGGCCTGGTCCAGCCGCAGGGGAGAGAAGCTGCGGGCCGGTCCGTGGGTGCGGAGCTGGGCCAGTGCTGGGCCTGGGCAGGAATCGGCAAGGTGGGCAGGGGTGGGGAGTCGGGGGTAGAGGAGGAGGGGAGAGGAAAGTCTCCCAGTTCATCGGTGTGTCCAGGTGCCCACCACCACCACGAACGTGTTCATTATGCAGCACAAACATAGACTCATAAAATAAAGGAAACTAAAAAAGAACAAGGCACAGGCAAGACAGGCCCAGCGCCACTGTAAACCACCGTCCAGTGCACAGCATAAGGCTGCACGCTTAACAGCAACACTTCCTGTAGTGCAGGACATTTCCTCCCTGCTGCGCAGTAAGGGCGTCCTGTAGATGCTGAGAAAGTTCTAAGGTGCTACGTTATTCTGTCCCCTCCACCTCTTCCTTGGTTTAGTTTTGGAAGAATCCATAGGAACCCAAACCGAACCAGCAAACTCTTCGGAGAATACTCTGCACAGAACAAAGGTGAGACTGGCTGCTTTATTTTTAGGAGAAGGGTTCCAAGCTTGGGGAATGTAAGGGGAAAATGCAAATTTAAAAAACAGTGCAAAGGGTGGAGGGGGTGAAAGGCGCACAGGTAATGAGGAAAAAAATAACCAAGATTCATCATGCACAGGTACAAGCACCCAATGAAAAATGTAAACTTACTGTATACCTAAAATGTACCGATAAAAGAATTTAAGCAAAAAAAAACAAAAACAGTACAGTGGCTATGAGAACAAATCCACAAATCCAGCCCGGGCTAGGGTTGGCCCACTGTTGTGATTCTGAGCGCACAAGTCCAACCCCAAGGTCATGAGGAATGAAGCCAAAGGGCCCTTCTTACAGTATCATACCAACCACCACCATCATCTCCTGTGACCTGCAAAGGGGGCCTCAAAATGTACAGAGCGCTGACCAGTGGCTGTTTGCATTGAGGGCCTCCTGACTCAGCCTCCAGTCCCTGCACCGTTCTTTCCGTCCACAGAGCCTTGGCCGTGCGGCTTCAAAGTGCCCTGCCCTGCCTGGTTGTGAAATGAACCTGCACAGAGGCAGCCGGGCAGGGGCTGTGCAGGGCCAAATGGCCCAGTTTCTGCCTCTGGCGAGCGGCCTCCCACTCTCCTCCGCTCTGCGGTGTGAGAAAGGTTGCGGATCGCATCGGCACTCAGCAGGACCTCCAGAGCCCTGTTGCATAATCTGTTGTTGTTTACGCCGCCGCACAAAGGGTCGCTCAGTGCCCAGCGCCGCCCACTGCGCCCACCCGGCCCAGCGCAAGAGTGCTCTGCAGACTGAAAACACCGCGGTGGGAGGAGGACAAACCAGGCGAACAGGGTGGCTCTGTCTCCGCACAGGACTGGCAGCTCCGGGGAGCCGGTCTGGGCTTCCAGAGCAGCTTCCGAAGCCTGGCACGGAATCCCGGGCGCTGAAAAGCTTCCTGCAAAAACCAGAGTTCATGGGAAACCTCCCTCTGCAGCTCGCCAAGGGGACACACACGCTTCGGAAATTCTGATTTGGAGTCCCAGATTTGTGTCGACATCACATTTCTTTTTATTTGTTTATTGGGAGAGGGGTGAACTCTGTGTAGTTCAAGCTGGCCTTGAACTCACTATAGAGCCCACCCTGGCCTTAACTCCCAGCAATCCTCCTGCCTCAGCCAGCCCAGTGCTGGGATAGCAGGTGAGCACCTCCACACCCACTGACACCCATGTCCAAGGCCTACTGAAGACACAATGGGCACAGAGGAGCACCTGGCTCTGCCCTGCTCTCCTGGGATTTTGGGTGCCTGTCTGTGAGCACAGTCCCGTGGAGGCTGCACCCACTGAGTTTGTCTCTGTCTTGCAGATGCCTGAGGAAGCCCTCAGGGAACTGCTCAGAGGAACCCCGGACTCCACAGAAGATGCCAGCAGGAGGAGAAACGGCGTGTGCGTTCACTGCATGACAAAAGGCTCAAGACGTTAAGAGAGACGCCCGGGCGCGGGGAGCTCGCCCCCTCCCCTGATGCTCCCGTTGGCCTAGATTTGTGAATGAAAAGGTCGCTGAGTCAGGAATCAACCAGGAGAATCAAATGTGTCAGGGCTGCCCATGCAGCCCCTGCCTGTCAGCTGCTCACCTGAGACCGCCGAGCTCAGTGAACTTATTCATTCTATATTACAGGGAAGCCCTGGAACACCCGCCACCGGGCGGGCTGGCTTCTTCTGTCCTAATTCTGCAATTAGAGAGCCACGGATAATAAACTCTAGCTGGGGGGACCTGGTGCATTAAACTACAAATTCTCCAAGATTAATATATAAGTGTATTTATGAATGGTGATTAAAGGTAATATAAATAAAAAATTATCAGAAAAGCGTTTGCCCTTTTTGCAGAGAATGTTAACGGGGGGTGATAAAGAGGATTCTGATTTCATTTACTTGTGTTGGTTTGGTTTTTAGTTAGTTTAGCTAAGGATCTAGATAACTATCTTTCTGAAGAGCCACCTCTTTATTCTGTGGATCTTTCATATTTTCAGTCTCCATGTATTCCTGCTCTGATCTTTATTTTACCAAGTTTCTAACACTGCCCTGGGGCACCTGAAGAGCTCGGATTTGCTCTCTCTGAATTAAAGGATACCCCAGGTCAGAAGCAGAGCCTAAGATGAGGATTCTTGTTCATGAGTTTATTGGGGACCGAGGGGGACGCCGACAGGAGGTGATTAGCCGGAGCAGGGGCTGAAGCACAGCAGAGGCCAACAGGAAGGTGTCAGGGTGTGCGGGTCACAGAAGGCACCACCCAGCAAACCCGCCTTGGCCCAGCAGCCTGGCTCCTTGTTCAGCCCTCGCCTGCAGCCCAGGAGGGGCTGTTTCCAGCGGCCGAGGGCCACTAGCAGCCAGCACCCAGCCAGTAGGAGGAGGCTCTAGAATGTCTTGTGGCCACAGAAGAGATTTTAAACATCATTTTTCTGAGGCCTCCCAAACATCTTCTTTTATTTTAGGACACAGGGGCACACTCCCTTCTCATAAAGGTCCCTGAGATTGTGAACAGCAGCTTAATGCATCCTTTCCCTCCATCGGGGGAAAACCCCAGAACCGCCTGTCCCTAGCAGTAGAGAACATCCAGACCCAGATCTGCTGGCCAGCAGGAAACAGGGTGTGACCCACGTCCGCCTGGGTGAGGTCAGGGGCCACCACAGGCTCCTCCAGTCAGTGAGATCACATGGTTCAGTCCCAGCCCTGCCATGCTGGCTGTGTGACCTCAGTGACACACTTGCTTCTCAGACGCAGTTTCCTCATCTGTGGAACACAGACCGTAACTCAGAGGTGGCAGGGGAGGACACTGGCCAGCACACAGGCAGGTGCTGAGAAACCAAGCCACACCCACGGGAGCACACAGGACCCTGGGAGTTCAGCACATCCCATCTGGATGCAGCTCCTAAAAGTGAATGTGCACCTGGCCTGGACAAGGTCAGATGCTCTGAAGGGGAAACAAGGAGAACACTGGGGTCCGTGCACCCCTGCATGGTGCTTTCAGACACTGTCTTGTTTAGGAACCACAGCAAAACGCCACAGGCAGGGAGGCCTAACCCACAGAGGCTGTCCCCGCCCTGGAGAGGAGTGTTGCCATGGTTGACAGAGCCCGGACAGGTTTCCAGGTTGTGCACAACAAACAAAGAGCTGGACGGATGTGGCACGTGACAGTAAGGAAAAGCAGCCCAGTTTAATGAAGTTTGCTCAGGCGACCGTGCACTGACAGCGAGCAGACGGATGGAAAGGAAAGTGGCTCAATCACTGACCATGTTGGGCAGAAGGATTCAGAACCCACTGGGTGTTCCCAGCGAGACTGACAGCGTGGTTGACTGGGTGCAGTCAGGTCAGCTGTGTGTACTGTGCTGACCTTTCCCATAATTCACTGTTACAGTTGGGTGTGGAAGTGCAGCTGTGCATGAACCTAGCAGCTCCAGGTGAAGGTTACTGCAGGTCCTGCTGAGGAATCTGGCACAGGCTATCTTGGTGTGGGACTTGAGAATCTTCTGAGGTGGCCCAGCAGCCTTTGTCTTTCTTATCTCTGCTGCAGGGCAGTAGGCCTTGAGACCAGGGCCAGGGAGTCAGCCCTGGGGCGTTGCCAGGGTTCAGTGCAGCAGAGGGAGTGGCCCATGGCCCCAGTGGTGCCATCAGCTTTACCTGCAGTCTGAGCCTAGGGCTCCAATAGGATGGGGTTCTCTTCCCGGCCTGCAGAGGCCTACTTTCCCCTGCTGCCCTCAGACAGCAGAAACAGAAACAGCAAACTCCGTGTTTCTCCAGACAGGGGCGAAAATCCCACTGTGAGGCCCACGCGCCTGACTTCACTGAGGCCTCGTCACCTGGCAAAGCCCTCTTCTCCACATCCCACCCCACAGAGACGGCCTGAGCATTGACGTGAGGGCACCCAAACCTGGGGCCCACAGGTGCGTTGGGGGTGTCAGGCCGAGAAGCTCCCCATCCACAGAAGCAGTCAGAGATGCTCTTTGTTTACATATAGTCAAGACTGAACGGAAGGTGTGAGCAGGAAACAGGAGACCAGGTGCCTCCCCACCCCTGTGCAGCCTTAGGTGCTCCTCAGTGTCACCACTTGGGAGCCAAGAGCGGAAGTCCTACCCTTCCCGAAACCAGGTCTCCCAGGACAGGATGTCCAGGCTCAGTCACCTGGCAACTTGAGGTTTACTCTGACCAATGAGGTCCTGGCGAGTCTGATTTAAAAAGAGGGTCAAGTTGATGCATTTTGTCTGATATTGAAAGTTATAAAAATGAAACAGAAAAGTCCAAGCCACTCTGATGGATGAGAGTGAAGACTAAAGCTTCAGTAGCTGGTTATTTACCTGAGGTTCACCTTGCCATGGAAATGGGGACAGTTACCATTGTTAGCAAGAACTGCTTTGGGGAGCCTCAGACAAAGGAATCTATTTTCATATTCAGCAGGAAAAGTGTCCTGCAAAGAATACAAATTCTAATTCAACCCTCAAACTGGGTCACTTTCTACCAAAAAATAATAAGTAATAAAAATAAGAAATCTACACCTTTGAAAATGAGACCTAAGGTCTTTCTCTAATAACCTCTAATATTGCAAGATCCAACTATAAGATAATTTGAATAAGCATTGCTCCAAAAATACAGTCATTTCAATGCAATTGCTTCCAGCTGACTTTCGGAAGGCCTGGCGAGGCAAGATAGGAAGCATCCTTTTTTTTCCAGTGGCGTGTTTGCATCGCAGCATCCTGCATGCTGTTGTGTCTGGTCTGGCGTGGTTGTGGGTGCTGTAATTTGGGAGTCCAGACAGGGCTGGTCCAGGAACAGGGAGTCGCTCCAGACAGGGGGTGGGGAGCCAGGCCTTCTCAGAGTCAGCAGCTGGTCAGCAGACAGCGAGACTTCAAAATGAGAGCAGGAGCATCCTTCTCTCTGGCCCCATAATTAAGTCCTGAAAGTCTTATTTTCCCTAACGAGTAGCCCCGTGGACTAAACAATCACAGGACTGGTCCTACCCAAAAGCAGACCCTGAGACAAGGCTCGGGGCACGGAGTCTGCTCTGGACATAATTTGGGAGCTCAAGTGGGGAGCTGCAGAGAGAGTGGGAAAGCTAGAAGTGGTAAGATTTCCGCCCCGGGCACTGGGCTAACACAACAACGGCAGACGTGTTTAGTCTTAAGCTTGTGCCCACTCCCTCCTGCGCTGGCCACCTTTTGGAGGCCGATGCCCCACATTTGCTAGTGGCCTCCCCCGCCCACAGGTGCGTCCTGGTGATGAGTGTCCAATGGTGATACGGGGCGCCCCTGGGCTACACGAGGGCCCTGTCTGGATGCCCTCACTGAACTGCTAGGACGGAAGATGCTTCGAGGACACTGCATCCTCCGCTACGTGAACTGGATACCGGGTGACAGTCACCCTGTGTAGCTTCCTGAGACCCACCCAGACCTCTAACATCACAGGTCATCCACAGCCAGCTCAGGATCCAAAGGGCACCACGCCACCCACAGGAGCCCTTAGGCGCGGGCCAGAGGGAGGTGTGAGCCGAACAGCAAGTGCACTGCTGGCAGGGGGACGCCAAGCTCTGGAGACCCTCTCCCAGGCCAGGACATTCGCTGGGTCTTGTTTCTGCATAGTCAGCAATTGTCTTTGCATTTTTTTTTTCTTGAAGGCAAGAGCCACAAAAACTCACATTTGCACCTAGGTCCTGCTTGTAGGGTTTGGGCTCCAGATGAGAAGATTCACGCTGTTCCCTTTGCGGTTCCTAATCTTGCCTTTCATCCTGCTTGTGCTTTCTCGACCTTTCTTGCTTCCCATTGTCTGCTGGCCCCTCTCGGGGGCTGGGACAGAGGTAGGGTGGCAGCCAAGGCAGCCTTTGTGCCCAGCCTAAGGACGGGAGGGTCAGGGCAAAAGCCAACCAGAGGGACCAGTCTGAGCGCATCCGCACTCAGAAGAGATGGCATGGCCCTGTGGAAACCTGGAGCCCAGAGGGGCCGACACGCAGGATCAGCAGGGCTCCCGCCAACTCCTCCGTGTCCCTGCCTAGCTCGGCTCCTGCCAGGGAAGCAGCGGAAGGAGCACAGGACAGAGCGGCCTGCACCGCACCCCGGAAAGGTGCAGAGAGAAAAGGGGGCAACCGGGCCTGGGCGGCGCAGGCTCCGAGTCTTCAGAGCCCGCGTGGAAATGGGAACTGGCCAGGGAAAAGCATCTGCCCCTTCCAGAAGGAGCAACAGCGGAGCGGCCCGGGCTCACGGACCCGATGAACAGTAGGGAAGCGGAAGACGGGCAGAGGGCGGCGTGGGGCAGGGAGACGAGGAGGGCTGTGAAGGAGGTGAGGGCCGTGCAAAGCTTCCAGCTCACGAATCCGCTTGAGAGACTGAGGGAGCAGAGAGTCCGGAAAGGCACCGTGCCTGTACCGGCTTCCCTCGCTGCTGTGACGAACTGCCCCGAACTCGGGGGCTCAAAACCCGCGTGCATTCTCTCCGAGCCCTGGAGGTCCGAAATCTGAAGAGGTTAAAAGCAAGGCCTTGCCCGGCGGGCCTTGCGGAGGCTCCGGGGAGAGCCGCTCTCCCGCCTCCACCGCCGGCTCCTGGCCCGGCCCTCTGGCCTCGATGCTCCCTGAGCCCGTCACAGTCACCGTCCTCCGCCCCGCAACCTTCCCGCGCCCCGTGCGCCCCGTGAGCGAGACCGGCTGTTACTGGCTGATCCCGCGCCCGCCCGGCCCTCGGTCACACAGGCCACGCGCGCTGCGGGCCTCGGCCACCAGGGACGGCTCCCAAGCCCTTCGCACCCCCAGACACTCGGGAGGAGCCCAACACAGGAGCTACCCGAGGCGCCTCCGCGGCTTCGTTCCCCTCCCTGCAGAGCGAACTGCGGCAGGAGTCCGCAGCTAACGAATGCCCTCGGGAGAAAGGATTCGCGTCCGGGCGCGCTCGCCTTTCCCGCTCCCCGTCCTGTTCCTGTTCCGAGAGTGCTGTGGTTCCAGGACTGCGTGGACTGCGGAGTCAGGAAAACCTAACAATGCTGACTTTCGGGAGCATCGATTAAGGCCAAGGCCGCCGAGCGCGGGCATCCAGGAAGTGCAGCTTACGGCGACCGCGTCTCAGCAGCCTCGGGAGCAGTCGGTGTGCTCCGCTCATTTCTGTCTCCGCGCGGTGGACACACAGGCCACGGGAGACCCTTGCGGTCTGCCAACCCCAGCACGCCTCCCTCGTTCCCACAAGCTGATAGCGCTGCATCTCCAACACACACGCAGGCAGGCACGCACACAGGCAGTGGAGAAGCTAGTCAGCACTTTTTACCCATTCCTTGAGTCACCGACGGCATCACTGGCCAGAGATGGTCCGGGCCAAGTGAATAATGTCCTTTATTGTGATATGAAGATGTGAATCTGGAACTTCTGCAGACACTTAGCCAGCATGAGGATAAAAGCCTCTGTGAAGAAAAGCACCTTGTTGAACCACTAGAAAAAAAAAATCAGCCGTAAAGCGCACCCTTTAAACAAGCCAATAAATCTTCTTATTTATTAAGCTAGCTTGAATTGGGCTTTTCATTTTTACAGGTTTAAGTTTATCCCTTGCTATTGAAGACGTAACTAAGAAAAACATTACCAATTTTTTTTTTTCCCACTCCCTGTGTAATGGGGACTGAACCCAGGGCCTTCACAGTGATCTACTTCTCAGCTCTCATTACTTTTTTATTTTGAGACAGGGTCTCACCAAGTTGCCCAAGCTGGTCTTGAACTTGTGATCCCTCTGCTCCTGCCTCCCAGAGTGCTGGGACTACAGGCACACCCCAGCACACCCAGCTACCACATGGTTCTTAATACAGAACATACTTTGCACTAATATTTTTAGTGTTGATAAAATCAGAATACCTGCTTTCTTCTTAGACTTTGGCAGAATTAGAAAAATAAGGTAACGCAGTTAACTTATCAAATAGTAATACTGATATGTAATATTGAGTTACACATATCAAATAGTAATATTAATTTTCTACATGGAGCTTTGGGGTACAGAATCCCAATCAGGTTGCCAAGGGGCAGGGCCTGGTGATATGTAATACTGAGTTACATATATCAAACAATGATATTGATTTTCTGCATGGAGGCTTGGGGGGTAGAATCCCAATCAGGTTGCGGAGCAGCAGGGCCCTGGTCTTGGAGCAGCTTCTGCAAGGTAGGTGCCTTGTTTGTCCTTAGCTCCTATAAGTTTAAGGGTTAGCTTCGAGGCACTGATGAGAATTATGAGAGTACAAGGTCACTCCTTGATGTCTTTCGTGGCATAAATATTGCTCCAAAACAATTTAATGTAAAAACAAAACAAAACAAACAAACAAACAAATTATCAAATAAGGAAGTGGTAGAATCAACTGCAGAACTGCAAAGGAACCCAGTCCTCAGGTTACTCTGCACTTACGCTGTTTAGGCACCTCAGGGAAATACCTAAAAAGTAAGAGAATGTAAAGGGGACAGTCCACCCAAGCCCGACCCCAACTCCTCCTGAATCACCAAGTCAGTTGAATTCTCTCCATCAACACATCTTGTCTTAGTTACTTTCTCATTGCATATGAGACCCACAAGTTAAGGGAGGAAAGGTTTATTTTGTAGAAGTTTCAGTCCATGGTCGGCTGGCTCCAAGGCAGGATGCATGGCAGAGGGGCATGAAGAGGAGAAACAGTCAATGGCAAAGGAGACAGGAAGCAGTAGAAGTAAGCAGCAAGCCTCCCTTTCCTTTTTATCCCACCCAGGCTACAAGCCTTTTAGATGGTGCCACCCACACCCAAGATGGGGCTTCCATTACCCACACTCAGAACTATGCTAAAACAATTTAGTTATTACACACCCTTAATCCCAATATCACACACCCTAACCCAGCATCACACACCCATGATCCAACCACCTCCCAAAAGCCCCATCTATGAGCACATGATGCTTGGAGGGATATCCAAATATAAGCCATAACACCTCTGAAGGACAGAGAATTAAGCATTTCTGACAAATCTAAAAGGTAGACAATGGACTAAGCCACCTGTGTGGTGATCTAGGAAACCTCTATAAATTGCTTCTCACCAAAATTAAATCTCTTCTCCACACTCTTATCTGTCCTATTCTTCTGGCTAATTGGCCAATTTGTCTTATTCTACTGACTTTTTAAGAAAGTACATGTTATGATTTATATCTAGATGACCCCAAACCCTCATGAGCTCATCCGTGAGTTTCTGAAAGGTGACTGGGTGATGGAGTGGTATAGCTGTCTCGCTCTCAGGAGGTGGAGCTTGGGAAGAAGAAGGGGTCACTGGGGGTGTTCCCTGGAAGTATTTCGCTTCCTTCCTGGCTCCTCCCTTTACTTCCTGCTTTCTGGTGGCCATGACTTGAGCAGCGCATCCTCTGCCAGACCCGCCTGCCATGGAGCCAGCTGACTATGGCCTGAAGCTGTGAGCCAAAATAAACCTCTCTTTCTTTCTGTGTGGGTGGTGGTATTGTGTCCCAGCAATGAGAAAGTGATTTAGACAGTACAAAAGATTTTTAGAGATTTAAAATTTCTGCCGACATTTTATGTGTGCTAACCACTGTCGCTGTCTTAAGTATTTTAATTATATGCTACTGTTTTATTCTTAGGTTCCCTCTACATTTTCTCACCAAAGTCCTAATTTTATTACTATAAATATATCTAAGCATATTGAACAACTTTTTCCTGTAGTTCATGTGATTTGTATATAAACTTGACTTTTACTCTCCAAAAGGGATAAAATAAATACAACTGCAAAAGATATCCAAAAATGCATTTATAAAGAATAGACCCAATACACCTGGTTTTTATACTATTCAAAATTGGTGGATTATTTCTTTATACTGTTGGTAGAACTAGGCAACTTCCTGAAGAACATGGCATCAGATCTGTAGTCCATACCTTACACTTGGTTAAATTATCTTACATAAAAGACTTAAGTGTTAAGAAGAAAAAACCTAGGGGGAAAAATCATGATAATTTTTAAAAATATGAAATGCGGGCTGAGGATTTAGCTCAGTGGTTTCGGCGCCTGGTACAAAAAAAGAAGAAAGAAAGAGAGAGAGAGAGAGAGAGAAAGAGAGAGAGAGAGAGAAAGCAAGCAAGCAGCCCTTTCCAAATGTGGTATACAATTCAGAAAGCAGAAAGGGGAAGGTTGAGAAATGCTTTTGTAAAAGGTCTGAGATTTTAAGCCCATCTGTGTTTGGATGTGTGCAGGGTTGTCAGCAAGCCAGAGCCGGGCAGTGGATTGCGTGTTCTGGGCACAGAGGGCCGGCCCAGTGTGTGTGAAGAGTGGGGTCCTGAGAGCAGCTCTCCAGTCACCCAGGCCCACACCCTGCGGGGCAGCCTGCTGTCCCTCCCCGCTCAACCTCGTTTTCACAGGAAGCTGCAGAGGAGGGAGAGGAGAAAATGACTTCAGGGCCAGTTGTGCAGAGGGGGACGGACGGGGACAGCTCCCTGCCTCCCGCCTCTTGGGGGCCGGCGGCCCCGCCTGCAGCCCCAGGCGAACCACAGGGTAAGATCTGCATACACAGACCCCCACCTCCTCCGCCACCCCACGCCAGGGTCGTCTGAGGAAAGAGGAGGAACGAGCGGAACATAGGAAGCGCTCTAGGTAAGGCGTTTTACTTCTTGACAAAAATTGCAGTGGCGCGAGACTTATTGACGGGCCACACTTGCCATTCCAGCCCAGGCGAATTCTGTCTGTCCCGGCTCCAGGGATTCTGGGGAGATGCTGGACACAGTGACGGTCACCTTTCTCGTGTAGGAGGCCAGCGGTGGTTGTTCCCGCTGGAAAGATGTGGCTGTTTGGAGGAGAGGAGACTTGGCCCTGAGTGGGAGGAGCCCCCGGGAGAGGGGTGGGCTCCCTGCCCCACCCGCTGCTCCGGAGTTCAGGCCCAGAGGGCCTGGGGCTGTAAGTTTGTTTTTAAACATTCATTCTTTTTTTTTTTCTTTTCTTTTGGTACAGAGATTGAACTCGGGACCTTGCGCTTGCGAGGCAGGCAGCCAACCACCGAGCTAAATCCCTGGCCCTGTGACTGTGATTTGACCAGAGATCCGGAACAAGCTGAAGAGAAGCAGGGCATGAAAGCAGATAATGGGTGGGGTTTGGAGGAACCAAGATTAACCAAGGAAAAGGAGCTTTATTCACTTGCTGCCTTCCCCTGCTATCTAGGGTTGAGCACATCGCAGAACAAGCCATCTACTGTCGGTGGGCAGGAAGGTAAATCCCACGGCAAGGATGGCAGAAAGGTAACCTGCGCGCAGGTCCGCCGGCCGTGCTCCGCCCCGTGCCTGCCTTCCGCAGGAGGGGCGCGATTTCTCCTCCGCGGGGTCTGGAAAGGGACAGAAAGGCTCAACAGGGCTCCCCGCCTGTCCCGAGCTGCCTCGTGGTTCCCAGGTCTGCATGTACTTTGCAGAAGGAAAATAACTCAGGTCACCTTGAGAGGGAGCGGAGTCCTAGCTGAAAGCTGTCTCCCTGTAGCTCAGTGGGTAGTGCTCTAGCAAGCATGAGGCCCGCGGCCAAGGAGGTGGAGCATTTGTGAATGGAATTGTTTTCCAGATTCCTTTCCTAGTTTGCTACTGGTGTAGAGATAAGCTATTGACTGTGTGTGGTGCTTGGAACTGAACTCAGGGGCTTTGCACAGAGCTATATCCCCAAGCTTTTGATTTTGAGACAAGATCTCACTAAGTTGCTAAGTTGTTGTTACGGTTTCTATCTAGATGTCCCCCCAAAGCCTCATTGGCTCATAGGTGGGGCTTTGGGAGGTGGTTGGCTCATAGGAGCTGACACTCACAGTGGATTAATCCACTGGTAGATTTATAGCTGAATGTGACTTTGGGAGGTGGAGCCTGGTTGCAGGAGGCGGTCACTGGGGTGAGGCCTGGAAAGGTCCATCTTCCTCCCTGATTTCTCTCTGCTTCCTGCCAGCATCCCCTGGGCAGATCTCCTCTGCCAGGCCGCCCTACCTTGGAACCAGCTGACTCTGGACTAAAACCTCTCCTTCAATTTGTGGGTGTCTGTACTGTCTCCCAGCAACAAGCATGTAACTAAGACTGTTGCCCAGCCTGGGTTTAAATTTGTGATCCCCTTGCCTCAGCCTCCCAGAGTGCTGGGATTATAGGCCTGAGTACCAGCTATTGATTTTTTTTTTTTTAATGTTGACTTTGTATCCTTTGACACTTTATCTTACAATTCCCATCCATCATTAGGGGAGGGCTGATTCTAGAAACTTAATTTGCTAACAATTACTTAATTTGCTCCTAGTTGACCCCATGCTTGAATCGAGAGAGACCACAGGTGTGTAAGCAGCATCCCTCCACGTGCACTCAGTGGCAAGGCCCACAACACAGGGTCGGACGCAGCAGCATCCCCATGGCTTATTTGTTCCTGTCAAAAGCATGGCATCGTCCAACATGGAATAAAGTCAAGAGACAAATCCTACATAGGAACCCCAAGCCTAAGCCTAGAAGGGACAAATTCTAAAACCTCAAGTCTCCAGCCATTGCCTGTCTGCGCTGAGCTTCAGCAGACAGAGCTGGATCTGCCCCCCAACTTGAGACCCAGAAGATACAACCTCGTGGAGCTGGTCACGTCATATAAAGCTGATGAGCTGTTTTTAAGGAGCAGTCTTTCTCCCAAGGCTGTGGCAAGTTTCCTTTTAATCACATCTGCGTCTTCTCTTCCACAAATACAAATGCAGCAGCATCAGGGAATGCCATAGGATGGACATATTCGTCCCTCTGTTAAAGCATGTGTCTTAGTTACTTTCTCATCACTGAGAGACAATACCTGACACCCACAAGTCAAAGGAGAGAGGTTTATGTTGGCTCAGAGTATGTAGAGGTTTCAGTCTGTATTCAACTGGCTCCAAGGCGGGGAGCAGGGCAGAGGAGAAACAGTCCATGGCAGAGCAGACAGGGATCCAGGAGGGAGGAGGGAGATCAACCCAGGCCACACCCCACAACCACCTCCGACCAGCTCCACCTCCCAACCTCACACCCAGCCATAAACCCATCAGTGGACTGACCCAGTGATGAGTAGTACACCCACAATCCAGTCCACTCCCAAAGCTCCACCTGTGAGTGCAAGGGGCTTTGGGGGCATCTGGATATAAACCCTAACAGCATGTCACAGTCAGAAGAGCATAGCCTTTGGAAGCAATCAGATCTACATTTAATGGTAATTCTGCTTTATATCTTAAAGACTCCTTCCCAACCTGAAGTCATGTAGACAGAGCTACATCTCAGTATCCAAGGGGGGCTTGCTCCAAATGGTGCCAGATTTGCTATAACCCATGCACGTCCTCCTTTGTACTGTAAATGATCATTAGGTGACTTCCCAACACAATATAAATCCTATGTAAATAGTTGTTATATTGCACTGTTTAGAAAATATGATGTGAAAAAGTTTGCACACATTCAGTACAGCCACAGTATTTTTTCTGCATGTTTCCTATGTATGGTTGGTTGAGCTCACAGATGTGGAACCTGTGGACATGGTGGGCCAACTGTGTACTCCAAGGTTCTTTCTAAAAGCTTTCCAGCTTTTTGCATTGGAGTATTTAATCTATTTACTGTTGGCTTTTGTGTGTGGGTTTCTTCCCACAGCTTCCCAGCATTCCCAGTGACATTTACCCCAAAGACCACCTTTCTACAATCCTGCAGGGTCACACTGTGGTGCCCACACGAGTGTGGCTTTGCCTCTGTCCCCTTGGCTTCTGTCCACCATGGTGACACCACACTGTCCTGATCAGTATGGCTTGTAAGTTTTTATGTTGGGCAGAACAGTTCGACTGTATTTTTACTTTGTTAATTTTCTTCTAGACGATCAGTTTGTCCACATAACTGTTGGGCTTTTGATAGCTATGGCTGAGTCTCTACATCAGTTTTCAGAGAGCCAGCACATACACAGTATGACTCCAGTTATATACGGTTAAAATTAACAAAAACCAATCTATAGTTTTTAAGGGTTGATAAACTTTAAATATAGCAAGGAATTGATTACCACAAAGTCAATGGAGTGATCACCTCTAAGGGACAGTGACTGGGAAGGGAGGCCTAAGGAGCTGTCTGATTTCTTGACCTGATTTTAATTATATGGCTGTCTCCTTATTTATTAAAATATGTATTTATATTTTACTCAATTTTTATATGTAGCTGTTACATTAGTCTTAGTTTCTCTCTCTCTCTCCCTCTCTCTCTCTCTCTGTCTTTCCTGACTCCCAACCCCCAGTTTTCCCATGTATAAAATGGATCTATGCCAGGCATGGTGGTGCACACCTATAATCCTAGCACTTGGGAGGCTGAGGCAGGAGGACTTCGGTTAGTTTGAGGCCTGCCTGGGCTATGTAGTGAGTTCAAGGCTGGCCTGGAGTACATAGTGAGACCTTGTCTCAAACAACCAAAATAAAAATAGAATTCCTTTTTAAAAAGTACAATGTACCCAGTACCTGTACTACAGACTCTCCTCCTACAGCCCTGGAAACGGCACCTCGGGCAGTGCTTGCACAAGACAGACAGCAGGCTCACGATTCCCTCCCCTCCCCAGGAACCGGAGTGGGATCAGAGCCCAGGGTGAGAGGAAAGGCCATCCAAGGGCTTCCATAGTCAGGCGTGCCCCTCGCATCTCGGGTACACGCTGTCCTGTGCCTGCACGCGGAGGCCACCCGGGTGTGGGGCAGATGACGCTGCTCAGCAACACCTATCTCCAGCCCAGCCTCTGCAGGGGTCAGCGCTTGGCAAGGGCTCTCCCCACCCGTCCCTCTGTCCTCAGGTCAGGGGACAGTGAACCCGGGGGCTTTGACCCCACTGGTGAGCACTGCCAGGCTGTTGCACGGGGGTTGGAGTTTTGAGGAACTCATCCTGGACTGAGGTCCCTTTACAGCAGGGCCACCAAGCTCCTGTCACATATCTGTCCTCTGAGGACCTGGGAAGGAGCAGCCAAAGCAGTCCCTTAAAAATAAAAACTAAGACACTAGAGTAAGATATTGTGAGCGACCATCAAATACCCCCGGCATTTGTTGGCCCTTCAGATGTATGGCTTGTCTCCCTTCACATGATAAATGAGTTTTCTTTTCACCCCCACGGAGTGCTGGGATGCTCACCATCACAGGAGTAAACTGTGGACATGTTGCATGAGTCTAAGTCTGTGCCAGGACAACTATGACTGGAAATGATGAACACACGTTTACCTGCTCATCTGCCCAGCCTTCGCTTTCCGCAGCAGAGGACTGTCTACACCTGAAGGAAATAAAATCACCAACTGGGCACAAAATTAGCCACCTGCTGAGCCGTAGAGGGAGCAGCTGCCTCTGTGGGCACAGAGACCCTACCTGGGGCCATCGGGACCCTCTCTGCAAAGGCTGGGATGGAAGCAGAGCGGCTGGAATCTCTGTGTGGCCAGAGGTTCCCGCCTGGGGAGGCTGGGGAAGCCCTGCACTAGGGGCGGAGGAAGCTTCGGCAGGGAAAGTGCACTTTGCATCCGGTGCGGAAGGAAGAGGAAATCAAGGAAGAGCTCTGAGCCCCTCTGCAGCTCAGCTCCGCCGGGGCCCCTGTCACACCTGCCCCTCTAAGTGGAGTCCGTGTTGATTGGTTGGTTTTGTCTTAAACTGGTTTGGCTGTAAAGGGGGTGAAAAGAAAACCCCCCTTTCCTACCACACTTAGTTGCCAATCGTTCCGGAGCCCTGGCCTCCCCATCCTGTCCTGTGTGCACCGAAGGTCACTTAGCCCCACGGCCTCCACCGCAGAGGCACCAAGCGGTGCCCGCTTTTACGGTGCACGGCAGGGCCTGCACCCGTCCCTCCCAAAACACAACCCGAGTTGTTCAGCACTCCTACAGAGGGTAGCGCCTCCTGCATGTTGTGGGACACAAAGGCCCGCACTCAGGTCACCCCCGAGAGTAACCGAGGCTGGGACAGCCGACAGCATTGCTGCACGGTGTGGCTGGCGGGAGCTGGGAAAAGGTGCTGAGAATCGAGTGAAGCCTCCTGCCCTACGCGGCCCCTAGGTCCGGGAAGACCCTCTTGCCGCGCGCTGTGGCAGCAGCTGTCTTACGTTCATCATCTCTGTTCCTGCAGCGACCGGGGAGATCGATGAAGTCCACCGAAGACAAAACGCCCTAAGCCACAGAGTCTGCATCTTTCCTGATCCATCATCTGTCAGGCATCCGAAGGCATCAGAGCTACAGCCGCACGGAGGCCTGGTCCTGCAGGACTAAGCTCAGTACTTCAGGACCAACTCAGTCTTCCCCCAAGGCACCCCGGTTAGTCTGATGCCAGTGGCTGAGACATTTTTTCTTCTTTTATAGCACTGAGAATTTGACCCAGGGAGCGCTGAGCTACATCCCTATCCCCCTGCATGCACACGCATGTGCACACATACACACACATTTTGAGACAGTGATTCAGCCAGTTGCCCAGGCTGTCCTTGAACTTGAAATTTTCCTGCCTCAGCCTCCTGAGTAGCTGTGACTGCGCACATGCACCACCACGCCCGGCGAAAGACAACACTCGGGAGTTCTCCAGCTCTCTCTGCCTAGCCCAGCGGTGGTGAATCTATGGCACATGTGCCACAGCTGGCTGCTAGCATTAAAAGCTCTGAAAGATTCGCCATCCCTGCTCCAGCACAATATCTCAAACACAGCAGATGCCCAAGAAAAAGGAGCAAGAGAAGAGGGGAGAAAAGGGGAGAGGAGAGTTGGAGTCAAGCCTAACCTGAGCCCCACCCCAAGGGAGAGCACTAGACACAGGGCTCGGGGCCAGTAACAACGGGGAGGACTTTCGGGTAATTAAAATACTGCAGGACACATCGGCACGTGCGTGGGCCTTGTGGACCTTTGCATTTCACGTCAGGGAGCCAAAATGAGCAACTGCTGGGCGGGGTCTTCGAGGCAGAGTGGGGCAGAGCCAGCTTTGGGGCATGGCAGGTGGCCGGCCGGCCACAGAAGGGTCCCGCTCCGCAGAGCTCTCTTCTGGCCCCCACACTGGCTGTACTTAGTTTTGACGGCCAGAAACCAGAACATCCGCTCGCTCACACAGAACGCAGAGGGTGGAGCCTGCAATCCCAGTGCACTGCCGCTCAGTAAGGGGCCTCGCCAGGAAGGACAATGCGGCCACAAGGTCACGCAGACACAGCAAGGACGAGCGAGGCTTGGAGAACACACGCGTCCTCCTGCGAGGGCAGGAGAGAATCTGGGGCTGGGACAACAGCTGGGAAAATCGGATGCCGGGCCACAGCCCCCAGGGCTCCCCGACCGCTCAGCCGCGCTGCCTGGAAACCCCAGGCTGACCCCGCCTGCAACAGCGAGACGTGGGGACACTGCCCGCCCCCCACACTTCTGCACTGAAGAAATAATAAGTTCCCAGGAGCACACCATATTTTATCCAGCCATATGTGTGGCCCAGACAGGAATCCGGACCCCCTCCGAGCCTGTTCACTCCCAAGGCAGAATTACATCCTCACTGACAGGGCCAGGCCTCCGCTCCTCCTGCTTCTCCTCCCGTCTCCACCAGCACCGTAAATTGCCGTCAAACTCAGCGAAAACAGCTGAGCGGGGAAGAGAGCATTTCCTCTCACAGCCAAATAGATGTGGACGAAACCGAGTGCTCACACGCTCTCAACAGGAGCTTTCTGGGTGAACAAATGAAAACAAGAGTAAGGGAAACAATGTATCAACCTAAGGCAGCCTGGAAACAATGTGAGCAAGGTTACAAGCAGGGCGGAAAAACAATAGCTGGACTTTAATTCAGAAAGGCTGAAATAGTTGCTCAATAAATGATCGTAAACAACAGGGGGAGAGTATTGGTTGAGGCACCCATGCAGGTGAAACATATTATTCAAAATCCAAGGCCACACTTCCAAAATGCCCCACCACTAAGAAGTCTCTTCTGTTACTAAAAACACAAATCCCCAGCCATCTGCCACAAAAATTGTATTTCTGTGGAGCTACGGCAAAGTCTAAAAATCTGTATTCCCAAGGTGTTAAGGTTGATGGCTATGTCTTCTTCGGTTTAATGGAGTTTGACTTTTTCATCCAACAAGTATTTATTGAGCTTCAAGTGTGTATCAGGCAGTTAGGTGCTGGGCACGCAGCATGACCGAGGTGGAGGTCCCCAGTCGTTGGGCTGACCCTGGGGGAGGCAGAAAATCCTTCCTTCGAACAAGCAGCTCCAACAGGGACAAACCCACCTTCATAGGCTCCTGGGGTCGCACTGTGAAGGAAGGGAAGACGCCCAGAAAGCAGCCACTCTACAAAGGCTAAAGTTCGGCATGTTGCGGTGGTGGCATCTGTGCCCGCTGTTACCCCATGCCCTGGGCGGGGAGGCCTGAGAAGGGAGCCCCTCGACCTGCTTGGGGTCCCTTCTGTGATGAGGTTACAACAGGGCAGGGCTCTGCGCCCTCCGGACGTGCAGGACAGGAGCGGGTTTCTCCCTGGGGCTGTGGGACTCAACTTCCTGGAAATAAAGGTTGTAATTACTGCAGCAGGCGAGGGCAGCTCACTTGCAGGCTGGCAGCATTTGGGACGATGTCCCTGGGGTTGGCAGGGCCAGGGGCCAAGCGCATTTCCACCTCTACCACCAGAAGAAAACTGATGGCTCCAGGCTGAATCGCACAAAGTACCAGTTATGAGGTTTAGGAGAAAGAATAAGGATGCAGCCTCTCCGCTCATTTATGGTGTCTGTCAAGGAGGCTCCTAGTCTCTCAGGGCCAAGGGGGCATTCGGTGGCCAAATACATATAAAGTGCTCCAGCGAGCGGCAACAAACCTCTGCTGTTCTGATTTTCATGGGTGTGGGAAGAAAGGCAACGAAGACCCAGCGCTCCGCTGGATCCTGATCCATGCAGGCCAGGGGCCACAGCTGACATCGGACAAGGCTTCTCCCCAAGGGAGCCCTGGAGTCCCACTCCTGGCTTCCAGACGCTCCGAGTACAGGGCATTTGCCGAAAGCTCTCCTCACGGCAAGGGCTTCAGGTCCCTGGCCCTGTGTTTGATTTCCAGCATGGAAAAAAGAAAAAAGCTTCCTTCGTTCAAAGACTGGGTGAACCGAGGAGGTTAAAACCATCAAAAGTGACTCCCAGGAGACAGGCTGCTGAGGACACACTTCCCAGCACTGTTTCTGCACTAATCCCTGCTGGGTGAGAATTCTTCCCAGGGTGCAAATTTTGAAGATTAAAGGTCGGCTCGTGAACAGTTTTGACTCTTTAAAGAGAACGGGAAGGGGGCTGAGGGGGTTGGTGGTCACAGCCGGTTTCCGTGAGTGAGGGGCCTAAGGGTTCGGGGACCAGATGAAGGCAAGGGGCATGTGGCGAGGAGAGCTCAAAAGAGGGAGAGATGATGAAGGGAGGGTGGGCCTTGGCCTAGCTCTGGTGGCTCTCGCCGTGAAGCCGAACCCTGCCCGGTCATTAGTCGCTGATGCATTCGGTCGTCGATTTGGCGGATGTCTACCATGCACCTGCTGAGTCACCAGGAAGACGTGACAGGGCTGGGGGACAACAGCCGCTGGCCAGGACACGCGCGCTGATTTCCTCCGTGGTAACAGCCAGGCAGCGAGACTTGGTGACACTCGAGAGTGGAGAGGAGCGCTGGCAGTGACACATTCTCCACCTGCACCAGCCGCCCGCTGGTGATGAAGGGTCACTTGGGGAATGTGATTTTCAGGGGACTTTCCTTTCTCTCCACCTCTTCCCATCACAGACACACCCCAGGTCAGGGCCGTGACTTACCGCAGCTCAGCACTCCCTGGTGTTCCCCCCGCTCCTCCCTCCCTGAGAACCTCGCCTCTAGGACTCTAGGACTCGGGCTGCTGTGCTGTTCCCAGGATGCATTTCCTTCCCCTGCTTCTGAGTCTGCCCAGGAGCGAGTCCTCGTTCTCCATCATGTAGTACAGGAGCTGTCAAAAAAAAGCCGCATAGGCCACGCTTGCTGGATTCTCTTTTCTTTTCTTCTAACATGGCTGTCCTTGAAATCTACGGGAAGTCCCACACGGTGGCTCATCTTATGGTGAGGAATAGACGCTAACCCATTCTGAGCCCAACCGATGGCTCTCAGGACTCAGCACAAGATTTACTATACCTGAGCCATGCCTCATCTCCTTCAGGTCTCCTGCCTCCATTGGGCACCACAGAATGGAAATCTCCTCAGTGCCTGCCAGCCTCGAAAGGGTCTTATACAGGTTACTGGGACAATTTCCCAGCCGTTCCTGAGGCCGAGAGGGTACGAATATTATTATGGCATATCATTGAGGGCTTTGGTTATAAAAGAGCAGACATTTCCCTCGGGCTATGAGGATTCCTAATTTTAATTTTTCAGATTTTGGTAAATTGAGCATTTTTTAAATATTTTGAGGACATGGAATTCTGAAAGACTACTGTAAAGTAGGATATTTAAATACAAACACATGTACTTACATGTGAATATAAATTCGTATTTGACACATCAGTGATTTTAAATAAAGAATCATTCCAGACAGTTGTCTTTTTTTTTCTTTTGGTTTTTTGACACAGACTCTCGCCCCCTAGCCCAGAATGGCCTTGCCTTGAACTTGCAGCAATCCTCCTGCCTCAGCCTCCCGAGTGCTAGGCCCTCAGCCCTGTGCCACTCCGCCTGGCTCAGACAAATTTTCTGAAAGAATATTAAAGGTGAACGCTTTGCCACCTCTACACCCTCCACACACTGTCCAATCCCTCCCTTCCCTGTCCAGCAGATGCAGTCCTGCCTGTCCTTCCTGCATCCTCCCTGAGTGGACGCCCTTCTTTGTGGGGAAACTGAGGCCATCCGATGGGGGCTTCCGCGGTCCCCACCTCCGCCCTCGCCCTCTGGGAGTGGACATGCCTGGGGCCCTTGGCCCTCATCTGCTTTCCTCCCCAACTGGACGATTCTGGAGCACACAGCATGGTGTTCATTTTCCCACCTAAAAATAACGCTTTAGACCCCAAGATGGTTCTCAGCTGTAATCCTAGCCTCGGGAAGCTGAGACAGGAGAATCTCCCATTGGAGGCCAGCCTCAGCTACACACGTGGTGTGACTCGTGGCTCCAGCCGACTTCTCTCCACCTCTCTCCACAGGTCCCGGGAAGTCCTGCTACATGCTCACCCCTCGCCACCCTCCACTTCCATCCCAAATGCGTCCCGTGCGGTGTGTGCCTCACGCGGCCTGGGGTCCCTTCCGCCCGCCTGGGGGTCCCGGCCCCCTCTTCACTCCTGTCTCCCATGGACCCACGAGCCGCTGCCGAAGGAGCCGAGCTGGGCTCCTCCCACCCTCCCCTGGGTGAGGTACCCGCAGTCCTCCCCCGGAAACTGCTCATTTCCCGCTCCTGCTCAGTGCCTGTCTTCACACTGGAGTGCAGCTCCGCGAAGATGACAACGCTCCGTCCATTCCCTTCCCCCAGGGCCTGGCGCCCAGGCAAGGAGTACACAGCAGCGCGGGTCTTGGCTGAGCAGATGAAACACAAATGGGGCTACTCGAGGCGACACTTGATAGAGAACAGAAAACGTGTCGCTTTGCCGCGGGCTGTGGGAGGGGTGGCCGGGGCCCCGTCCGAAGCCCTCGCCTTTCCGGGCGCCACTTCTCAGCCCCACACCGTTCTCCAAGCAGCAGCACTGCGTCCTTTTCGACATCCAGCTCGTTTGTCACCAGAGCCTGGTCTCACGGCCTTTGGCCTCTGAGCTGTGTGCCTGGATCCAGGAGGCGTCGCTTCTGTTCTGACTTCACTCAACTCTTCGGATGGCGCTGTTAGGATTTTCCCTCCTGTAGCTTTGCTCTCAGCGTCAACCTGGGCATAAACATCTAAGTGAGATCACTGGTCATTAGACAGATGCTCAGAGCCGGTGTCACGGGCAGCAGGCAGAAGGCCAGGCCTGCCTCAGAGCAGACGGGAGCCTTCGGGAGGAGACTGCGGACGATGGAGGCCTGGGGCCCGGGACGAGGTTAGGGGACCTGGGCAGACGGCAGCAGCGCCTGCAGGGAACGGCAGCTCTAAGCACAGTCAGGAGGGACAGTTTCTCCCACTCTGTGTCCCCTGCTCATCCAGGACGGCACCCGAGAGTCACTTAGCGCTCGTCTGGAGGTCAAACAGTGCCCGGCAGCTCTGGTTCAAATGGTTCAGCTTTTACTTGATTCCACGGGTTTCACCTTCATGGCACTGGCTTGGCAGGTGGGTGACCAAGGTGCCTCCTGCTGGTTCCTGCCTTGAGCCCAGAGCTGTGACTGGAAGAGCAGCTCTGTCCAGCGTGGACCGAGGGGACGTCCCCTAGTGTGGACGGTGGCTGGCGGGGGAGCAGTCTCTCCACAGGACCTAATCTGAGGACACAGCCAGTGAGGTGCCGTGTGAGTCCCCTCCTCCTGCCCTGGCTTGGCAGCGGCCGCCTTGCTCTGTCCTGGGCCCTCCTCCTCCTCACGGTTCTCGTGGTGACAAAGGGCCGTTGCAGCGAGCAGAGGCCAGGGCAGCCTGACCTGGATGCTGTCCCGGGCCTACACATCCTTGAGTCGCCCCCAGCTGGCCTTTAAAGCAGCTCCAGGGTGTCTGCAAAGGCTGTGAACCGAGGGGGAGGCTCAGCACAGCTCCGCCAGGGCTCCGGCAGGTCCTGCGAGGTTCCGGGTGGCTGGGTCCCCAGTCATCATGACGGAAAAGAAGAAAACTGAGGCGGAGGACAGGCTCTCTGCTTGGTCCCCGTACTCCCCACTGGCCCAGACTGGAGGCAGGGTTTCCTGCCCTAACAAACCTCTGGCACCAGGCGGGCTTGGCCCAGCACTCCCAGCCCAGGTGTCCACTGGGCCCGAGGACTCTGGGCTCTTCCCGCACGTCCCGCCCGGGGCTGGCTCACCGGCGTCTCCTGGCCCCCACCCGCCTGCTGCGAGGCTCCGGCCGAACCACCCACCACTATGAAATACACTCTGTTGGCGTTGCTGGAGACGCTGTCCACCTGAGTCTCAGCAGGCACCAGGAGCCTGGCTCTGTGGAGCCACTGGCTGGGGACAGAGGGCGCACACAGACTGAGGAGCAGCTGGGACATCTCTGCCAAGGGGGTCATGCCAGCGGCAGGCCCAATGGCCTGGCTGTACAGTTTCAGTCTCTGGCCTCTGACCCTCCATAGAAAGCAGCACTCGGAAAATGAAAATCAGGTTCTTGGGCTGGGGGTACGAGAGCTAGGAAGGAGTGTGGAAGTAAGCAGGGTGCCTTCCCTCACTTGGTTTATCTTCTTCACACCAGGGCTTAAAACACCAAACTTGCAGAGTTCTTTGAAAGAGGTGCCCATGGCTGAGCACCAAACTCCCCTCCCCAGGGAGGGCTCCGCGTGGCTCTGGGTGGCAGGCAGATCCGCTGGCCCCTCCCAGGCCAGGGCAGTGCCACAGGAGGAGGCGGGGAGGACAGCCAGGGCCTTGACCCTGCAGCCCCCATCCAGGACTGCAGAGAAATGAAGAAATGAGTGTGTTGATTCCCGCAGCTAAACCCGTTCCAACGTTTCCATCTCCTTTTCCACCCCAGGTAGTTAGTAGCCCTTTGAGATTCTCCTGCGGTGTCGCCTTCCAGCCCCGCTCTGTGCCGCCTGGCTCTCTGTCCTCCGTCCGGGGCTGCATGCTTGGCACTGCTTGCTGTAAGCCGGGTCGGACTGGTGTGCAGGTCCCGACAGCGAGACTGACCGCGAGCTCCATGCTGAGCAGTCCTGGATGGAAGCCGTGTTCCCAGGCGACCACGGAGTTGCCCAGCGGGCTTCACCCGTGCTGTGCTCCAGCCCCACCCGCGCTCTGTGACCTTAAAGTTCGTCTCTGCCAAGTCCCGAACGTGGCCCGTGTGCCACCTTACAGGACCGGCACTCACACTTCCCCAAATGCAGAGATGAGCGGCTGTCAGCTGATAAAGCATGCTAAGAAGAGCTGTAATGTGTCGATGTGAATACACAGCTAGAGACGCGGTAGGGAAGATTTGGTAAAGAATTAAATGAAAGCAGGGCCCAGACCTGGACCCACCACGCTAGCTGCGTGGCCGACTTACGCGTGTGAGGCTCCTGCTCGCAGCCCTCACAGCCGGGCCCCTGAAGCTCCACTGTGGTCAGGAGCCAAGGTTCTGGCTTCCCACCTAGGACCTGTGACCTTGGGCGAGCGACTCGGCCACTCTGGGCCTCAGTTTCCCCATCTACACACGCGTCATCATACTTCTGTCCCATTTTCGTGAGGGGCCATGGGTTACAGACCAGCAGGGCCTCACCGGCGCAGACAGACA